GCTAGTAAAACAAGGCTCTATGTGAAACGGCACAGTCAGGGCTAAGGAAGGGTTGCAATCACCCACAGCAAAGGACCTACTTGCCGTGGTCCTAGACCTGGAGTTCCGCCCATGGAGACAGTTTGGGGAGAGGCTTGCTCCTTCCTACAGAAATTCTTAAGTCCTGGATAGCTCCAATTGCCAAACTTCTGGAGCAACTTCTTGGATCTTTTGATTATAATATATTACAAGCAATTACACCTAGCATTTGTTGAGAAGTTAATACAGGGGTATTAACAAAAGGGCTCCTATTTGGCTTGAGAATCAGGGGTAAGTCTTTAAATAAAGCTAATTGGGTACATTTCTACAACTGGTTTTAAAAGAAAATTATTCCTGTTAACCTTTCTTGCAACTGCCACTTTTTGTACCTCTATTCAAATATCAGATATGTATATTTTCTTCAAGTTTAGTGATATGTTTTTAAAAACATACTTATCAACTGTATCCTCATTTCACACATTCAGGAAGTCTCCCCACATATGCAAATAAAATATAGAGCATCCTCTCTGGCTCAGTATTGAACAGTCAACAGCCACCAAAACAATGCAAAGATGAGAAGTCAGTTCAAGTTACTTAGATTCACACGTGCACATATTATGTGTAAATATATGCCATTGTTGTATGCAGGAAATGGTTGCCTACTCATTTGGAAGTACAAAATTCTCTCCCTCCCAAAGGAAGATCTAGCTCAGTGGTTCTCAACCTTCCTAATGCTGCAACCCTTTAGTACAGTTCCTCATGTTGTATGTGGGCACATCTGCATGTGGCAGACCCACCTGGAGACGGATAGAGGAGTGGTGTCTCGGTTCCTAACACCATTGGAAATATATGTCTTCTGATGGTCTTAGGTGACCCCCAAATGGGTCACAACCCACAGGTTGAGAACCGCTGATTTAGATGAACATCAAGTAACCTAGCACTAAGGATTAAAGCAATTTTAGCATATAAAAGCAGTTACAAGGTCCTTTAACTTGCATCATTTTATACCCAGCACCACACACTTGAGCACTTGATTTTTTTTTTAGATTATGATGATAGCAGAGATATTATTCAGAGACTAATAAACAACTTATGAAATATAAAAATGGACAAAGAGACATCACTACACTATTGTTGAAGTAGGTAAACAGGACTTAAAACAAATAATAAAAATGACAACAACCACACAACATGGAAGTAAAGTGGTAACATGATTGCTGTAATGTACGATGATAACATTGGAAGACTCAACCTGGGAGGGGAAGTGAAGTGTGGGTATCTTTCCAGGAGAAATTGGCAACAAAGCTGATTCTTAAAGAATAAAGATAACAGAATAGAGTGACTATAGACATTTTTGAGAGCCTAGATCATTGGATAAATACAATATGAATAATTAATAACCACCTACTCTAAACCCAATTATTACCTTAACTGCTATTAGGACAAAAATAATTACAGGATGTAGTCCTTGCCTAACTGACACCTTACAATCTATTTAGGGAGGTAGGTGTATATCCAAAACAAAATGTTAATAGTACATAGTAAAGTATAGACCACAGCACATAAACAATACATTCATTTGTTCATTCAAAAAATATTTATGGTCTATATACTATGGACCATACACTGCTCTAGAACTGGGGATATGGCAATGTCCAAATTATAGAACATTTTAAATCTTATATTTTTAAAAATACATCTTTTAAACTTTTAAGATAGGGGAGAAAGACAATAATAGTTCAAAAAGTACCACGATGTGAAGACATTAAACATTAGCCATTTCTCTGCCATAGAAAAGTTGAAAGGAATCACAGAGAAGTGGCAAAGACACAAAGTCCATTTGTATTTATTCTTACTATCCCAATATCTGCTCACTCTCAGATACTGAGTGTACTGTGCTAATAATTCTGAAAAGAGCTATACAATAGAGTATAGTCAAACCTATTCAGATAGCCCAAGTGTTTCACCCAATACAACGGCAATTTAAATTTTTTTTTAATTTATTGATTTTAGAAAGAGAGGAAGGAAGAGAGAGAGAAAAACATTGGTTTTTGTTTCACTTATTTATGTATTCATTGGTTGATTCTTGTATGAGCCTTAACTGGAGATCAAACCCACAACCTTGGTGTATTGGGACAATACTCTAACCAACACAGCTCCTGGCCATGGCTAAAAGGGTGCTTTTTGAGCATATTATTTATTGTTCTTCCCCACCTGAGAAATGAGAATAATGCTATTAACCTACAAGTTACCATGGAAGTTGATCTCCATGAATTAAATCAATCACATCAGGAGACCAGTGCCATAACAGTTAACAGTTCCAGCACTTACAGTGACCATACATCCTCTCCCCTCTTGCATATCTTGCTTCTCACCTTGTTCAGTTCTAAGACAGGAAAAGTTGAGGAATGAGATTTGAGAATGTATCAGAGGTGACTTCTAGTGACAGCCAGTGTCTTGTGAAGGATATTTAAAAGAATCCAGTCTATCAAACTTCAAGGAAGTTCTAGATTAACATAAATTATCATCTGGCTGCATCTAACATTGATAATACACATTCTGCATCAAACACCTTCCTGATAGTGATCCCATGAGCTGCAAAATAATCACGTGCTTCAATTAATTATTCTGTTGAATGAATGGATGAATTAATTGCACTTATATACTGATAGTCTCAGTTTCTTCAGTGTATTGCTTCTTACCCTAACACAACTACTTGGAAACAAAATAGTAGTACAAATTCCAGTACTAAGAATACCAAATGGTTACAGTAAAAAGATTTCCATTTGAATTATCAAAATAAATACATGAAATTTAGAACTTGAAGTGAAGAAAGGCTCTAATTAAGGGAAACGTTTGAAAGCCTTCAGCAAGTTCTTTGTGGAATGCAATTATTTGGTTTCTTGATCCTCAGACCAATTGCATTAACAATGACAAAAGATATGTAAATTTAAACAGACAATAGTCAAGCCAAGCTCCTCTGACTCATACCAACAGGGACTTTTCAGCATATATTCAGCTTAATACACTCTAGCAATGCTTGACTATAATCTGAAACTATACAATAATCATTGACCAAGAATAATACAAACAAAAATCAAATTTATTTCACACAATAAATTAACATCTGAAACATGTGAATGATGTAAGCCTGATAGAATCATGTATTTACCCTGTCACTGATGAATAATTGCATAGCAACAAAAAATATGCATTACTATGTTTAACTCACCATTTTAATTGTATATTTTAAGCAAACAAAATACTCCATTTTTGGTAGAATAGCTCATTCAAGTCAAGTAGGGACTAAATTTCCTTCCCTACTTCCCTCAAAGAATCCAGACTAATTTAAAATGATTGAATTTTCATTAAAAACTATATGGACAGTATACTGAGAACAGTAATAAGCAATTCAATCAAATTCATTTGTTTGCTGTGGAAATAAGTTAAAAAAAAAACAGATATCCTATTATAAACGGCTAATGTAATTAGTGTCTGAAATTTAAGTTACAATTATCAAAAGAGTACGAAACTCTGCTTTCTATTCTTCTACCTATCTTTTTTTTTTTTTTTTTACCTGTAGTCCACAATGGAAAGATTAACTACAATTCCAGGTTTGGCAACTCTAAAACTACTGAGTTTCAGTTAACTTGTCAAATAAAATAACAGCGATCTTAGTTCAGTCCCTAGTGGACAAAAGTAGAATAACTATTACTCGGCATGATTCAGCAGGCAGTGATCTGAGTGTGACCACACAGGAACAAAAAAGAGAATTTATCCTTTCCCTATCTTTTATCTTCTTAAAAGGTTTGCTCTGTCAATTGACCAACTTAAAGAAGACTGGACTGGTTGCATTCCTATCTATATGCACTAAGTGGATTTTTTGCCAAGGTCCCTGGAGGGTGGAGGAGAGGCTTTTCACAAATAGTGATATTTGTGACCCCCCCTATTAGTTACATAGTTGAATACACTTATTATCTCCTGCTTACCTGTTACACAATTAAACAGAATAAAGAGAGGATGAACTGCAGAAACTGTTTCATATTTTAATAGGCATATTTTCAATAAATAATTTTAAATGGTTTATAGAGAAATACTGAATAAAATGTTCCATTTAACTTCTACAAATTGGGATTATATGCATACTCAGCATTAACATTCGTCTGGATACCTACACTCCCACATGACACTGTCTGTAACAACCATACCCCGAGAAAAAAAGGCACCTCAGGAATCTAGCCAAGACACAGCCAAGCCTACATGTTGTGTTCATCCCAAATCTGCAGGTGCACGTCTTTGGAAATATCCACCACCAGCTCTGTGTCTCCTTTCCTAGTGGGCTAACAACCTCTTCCTGACACGTTCACATTAGCATTTATCCTCCTGATTATTTTTCTCAAGGAGAGAAGAAAATATTACATAAATCAGCCTTCTACTATTCTACTACTTGCTAAAATCATTTTCCTTTACAAATGTATGCAATTTCTCCAACCAAATATCACACTTTATACCTGCTCTCATTTCATGTTAACTTTACTAGGGGTTGAAAAAAATAAGCATTTAGTGATAATTTCCCATCCTGGCTGCACAAACTTTCCTGGTGGAAAATCTATTTGATCCTAAATTAGTATCGTCATTATTATTTTCTCTTTTGCCAACTGGCTCAAAATGTACAGTTTTTTAAAAGTTGGGTTTTGACAGAAAACTCAAACTAAATTTTAAGAGAAAAAATGAGATGTCATAAAATGTGCCACTGCTAGGCACACAAATGGGGTGCCACCATACCTTCAGAAGCTAGCACAAACCTAAAAATCTTGGCTCGCCAGCAAAGTCATGGAGAGAAAGCCCTCTTGCATTTGCAAACACTGCCCCCCTGGAGTAAAAGGTAAACACACAGATGCTCCCCTAAGGATCTCTAAGTTTGCTACAGTACAAGAACGGAAAAGGCTCCATGCAATTAGAAACCGAAAGCAATCACTTACTTTTTGCAGCCACTGAGTATAATTTTCCAGCACATGCTCCAGATGTTGAAGTTTCTGGGAAGAGAAATCCGGTTCCACGTGTGGAGCATCTCTCTGCAGAGCGTTTGTGTTGTACTGGTCTGTCCTACTCTCACGACAGTTCCCGTCGTGTTCTGGAAGAATGAAAGTGTAGGCACATTGCCCATATTGAATCCGGCTATATCTTCTCCCACCGTTCTCTGGACTTCGGCGCTGGTTGCTGCACCCTACGTGAGTCAGAATGGCAGCGAGGAAAGCTAAGGAAAGGAAAACTGTCATTGTACTGCCAGCACTCTCTTTCCGTGCCTCTCGCAAAACTTGCTCCTTTCTTCTGACCTTTAAACTACTTCTTTATTTCAGGTAAAACTGTTTGTCTCTTTGACGTTTTCCCGTTCAAAGAAAGCTTTTGAAGAAGAATCACAGAAAACTAGCCATTTGTTAGCTTTGTTCTAAAATGTTATTTTTTATTTCACTGTAATGATAGTTTCCTTAGTTAAAACTTGAGATATTTATTGCATAGTAGCTGAGATTTATTGTTTCCTCTCTGTGTAACCGTTCAGCGTGGAGCCTGCCTGAGTCAGCTGCGTGTACATATTCTAGACCCTTTCCTCTACCCTATCTGCTGCAGATCTGCTATTTTCTCCCAGACCTCAGTGAGTTTTATTAAGGTTGCACATCCAAGCCAAGCTGGAAGCAGGCAGCCTTTCACAAGATGACTTGACAGGAATGCATGGAGGGTGCCCCTATGCAAGGATTGCTGATGGCTTGGAGCAGCAGGATCATCTTACAAATTGGCTAGATGCGCATGACCTCGATCATGTATGGCTCTCCCGCCCCTTCCACAGACAATTGTCTGGAGCTTTCACAGACTCACGGCAAATCAATAAATAGAGCAGTCCACCTTAATACACTTTTAGTGTGCATGCTGACCTACTAACTAGCAAACTAGCAGTATGTTTTTTAAGTTTCTAATTTAATTGGAAGCTTAAGAAGAAAATTGGCATAGTGTCCAGTGAAATTATTTTTGATTATTTATAAATGATAAATCTGTATAATTATTGTTTAAAAATTTATTCTTGACTCTGAGGAAGAATATATTAAAACTCATTTTTAGAGGTGATATTCTTTCATTGTATTCACTTGGACTTTCAGGAGTTGGAGAAAAATATCAGGGAAGGTCAACTTAGCAAAAATATTTCATAATTTATTACTCAAAGGAATACAGCATGTGCATATTAAGTAGAAAAATATGAGTACTTTCTGAGATATGGCTTTTAAGTAAAACTGGTTCCTGATTAGAATGCAGCCTTGTATGTTCTGTGTATATAAATTGAGCAACTTCCTTACAAAAACAGTGTGGTTACAATTTAAGACAGTAGCCTGAGAATTATTAATTCCTGTGGTATATCCTAATCATATATTTCACAAGGACCTCTTTGGTGTTGCTATGACTATCTTCACTACTGGTATAGAAGTTCCATATAAATTCTCCTGTGACTGCACTGAAAAACTATTGGAGAGAAAAAACATGTGTCAGGTGTACCAAGGGGCCAGGAAAGGGCTGTATGGGAGAAATCTCTGTGTTTCTTCTATTAAGTAAAAAACAAAAATTATCGAAGGTGACTTCCCAAATCTAGGGTGTAAACATTTGAACAAAGGGATCAGTAAAACATAAAAAACAGGTGATAATTACAGAATTAAGATTACAGCACTGAGATCTTGACTAAGTGTGTGCAGAAAACATGAGTTATGAGCAGTGGCTTTCATCAAGAACTGGGAGGGATTTTATGGAATGGAGCTTCTTAACTGCAGCCATGGTGTGAAAACAGAAGCTACAGATGTTGACTCTCCTGTCCTGGAAAGGTGGGGGGTTAGAGGTTAGAGATTGGCATGTTGGGAGAAGTTAGAGGAGAGAGCAAAACACATTCCTGAAAGAACATGATTTGCTTGGAAGAAATAAAATGTGCTGGATTTATTAGTCCTTTCCACAGCAGAAAACAAATTTCTTATCTAAAAGATATGGAAGCAAGTACAACCAAACATAGCAATAAAGTCTTTGACCCACTTTTGCAGTCTCATCTTGACATTGTATGTCTCCTGTTGCTGACTGTCACTCACATGTAATAATAATGACATGTATTAAGAGCTTACTATTTTCCAGGCTTGTGCTAAGCACTCTTTACACACAATCTCATTTAATTATCCCTACAAATCTAAGACATGGATATTATGTTTAACCCCATTTTATTGAGGGGGAAACTGAGTCACAGAAAAGCTAATTGGTCACAACTCACCTAACTAGTAAGTGGGTACCAGTATATTTACTCTAGCCAACTGACTGAGCCTATATGCTTCTAACCTCCAAGACAGCCAAAAGGCCCCCAAAAAGGCCCCAGCTGCACTGATTCACAGTTTAAAAGAAGGTTAACTGATGGTACTTAGAAGAAAAAGAACTGGTTAAAAGCCAGTTTATGCTGCCAAAGTGATTTAATCCCTCCTCTGTACCCAAAAAACACACAAACAAAAAAAGTGACAGGTAACCCATATAATTGAGTTTTTAAGGGCCCACAAGGATGAACTGGACTGGCAAAACACAGATTTGACTAAGAACACTTTCTAAGATTGCTTGCTTTGAAAATTATCCCTGGAAAGAAGAAAGTCCAAAACCAACACCTATAAGTGCTTTGTTAAGAACTAAATACAGCTGACAACCAGCAGAAGACACATGGGTGAACAGTAAGGGCTCTATTAAAGTGCTCCTGTGTTTTTTAACAGCCAAGAGTGTTAAAAATCTGCTCGTGTGCACACATGTCTGTGTATCTACATGTGCTTGTTCATGTAAACTTTTCCAATATGAAAAATAAAAAGGAATGCATAATTCCTGAGGGAAAAATAGACAAACTTAGATAGAGAAGCCTGAAATACAAGTGAAAAGGGGACATAGAGAGAGTGAGAAAAAGAGATACGAGATTGATTTATATCTTTTCCATAAAAACAAAACCAAAAAAATGACACTGAAAGTGTCAATGTGAAAAAAAAAGTCTCAAGATCACTTTAAAGCAACTAGAAAACACAGGGACATGAGGAATGGACTCATGTGCTTTGGGACTCCAACTGAGGAGATGATGGGTGCATCCCAGGAATCTAATGATATGCTAAAGAGCACCTGCTTTCAGGGCCCTGAACCTAACCAATAGCAATACTGTTATTGTTGGTGGTGACTATTCAAAAATGATACAGTGTAGGAGATGCTAGAATTTAGGAAGTAGTAAAAGTACAGGTCACACACACACACACACATATATATATACACATGTATATATATATACATATATAAATTTTATTCTTCTACCACACCTCCAAAATATTTTTTAAAACATTGTTCTAAAGAACTAAATAATTCTATTCAATTGTATACTGAGGGAGTTTGATATTGAAAGCTTTGTATCTTTGTATTTTATGTGCATTTACAGAGCTCTGGAATAAGGAAGTGTAATGCTTTGAGATTCTAATCCTGGCTCTGGCCAGGTAGTTCAGTTAATTAGAGCATCATCCTGATACCCCAAGATTTCAGATTCAATCCCCTATCAGTGCACATACAAGAATCAACCAATGAAATAAAAACAACAAATCAATGTTTCTGTTTCTCTCTCTTCTTCTTCTTCTCTCTCTCTCTCAATAAATAAATAAATAAATAAATAAATAAATAAATAAATAAATAATTTTTAAAAGATTCTGATCTCATGTTTACAATAGCCCTAGTAAACATAAGGTTCATACAGAAATTTCCAGAGGGACAGGGCACAGCATTTCTGTGGGAACTTAATGGCCATAAATCTGTCCTAAGACTCAGTCTTTGTTAATTCTTCTGTGAAGCTTCCTCCAGGCCCACTCTCTCTGATGCACTTCAATAATCTTCTCTTGGTATCTTCATAATGGCACTGCTTACACTGCTTTCTAATTATTTGTTTCAGTCTGTCTCGCCCTTTTCATAAAATGATCTCCTCTCTTTAATCACTAATTTCCCAGCACTTACTATGCATTGGGTGAAGGAATGAAAGATTAAATGAATGAGTGAATGAGCTAACTACTTTAGTATCTACTATATCACTGGCCACATCTGCTACAACATTGGGGCGAGTGTGTCTAGGATTAGAATAAAGCCAAACTTATTCGAAAGAATGAGTCAGACGCCCGGTCAGTGTGGCTCAGAGGATTGAGCATTGTCCCATGGACTGAGGTCTCGGTTCTATTTCCAGTCAGGGCACATATCTGGGTTGTAGGCTCAATGCCCCATAGAGGGCATGTAGGGGGCACTCAATCAATGTATCTCTTGCACATCGATGTTTCTCTCTCTTCCTTCCTCTCTCTCTAAAAAATCAATAAAAACATATTAAAAATAAAAACACATACAATAATGCAGAACATTTAACCCTTAACAAATTTTCTCACTTAAAGCACCCATAATTATATATTAAACCAAATTTGGAGATAAAAAATTACAGTACATTAATTGTCCAAGATACATGATTGCTTATCTGGCAGAGCAAGAATTTTGTCCTCAGTCCATTTAATTCTGGGGCTCACACTCATCTCCCATTGAGCTGTAATGCCTCAACAATACCTTAGTATTAGAAAATAGGGAGAAAAAGTCTTAAATAAATTTAGGGTACAGGAACAACATGACATCTGCAACTAAGCGGGTTTCCTCTTCTTCTCCCTCTTCCCCCATCATGAATTCATGTAGTTGTTGGGGGTGGTGGGACTGACACAAGGGGTTAGACAGGCGGGGTCAGACTGGACCTGGATTCACCAACCTCAGTACTCGAGTTCTGACTAGGAAAGAATTTAGAGCCAAGACTCAACCTATAAGAGAACATTTATTTGGAAAATCACAGAGGTAGAAGTAATTCGTAGAAGAAATGAGCTTAGGAAACACATTATAGAGGCAAAGGAAGGGCCCTTGCAGCATGGGAGTGAGGAAGGTAATGGTAATGCACCTGGAGGAAGGGGAAGGGGAAGGGGAAGGGAAAGATGCAGGTATGCTCCTGGAAGGGAGAGTGGCTTGGGTCCTCCATCCTGAGTTTTAAGGGTGGAGATTTTAGGGGAGGTACCAGGGGAAGATCTCAATAGAATATTCATCAGCTTTCCAGGTGTGTTCTTTCAGGGTCTAGGTCGCCACTGGTTCACTGGTCAGCTCCAGGGCAGGTGTCATTATCCAATGCAGCTAGTCCTGAGGTCAGCCTTGGTGTTGCTTGCCTGGTTTTGCTGCTTTTCTGGGCCTGGGCCTGGATCTGTAATACAACTGAGGCCTAGAAGTTATCTCTAGGGAGGAAAAGTCAGGGGGTCCAAACTGCATGACCAGAGATATGCTAGGGGAGGAAAGGCCATCCTGGGGGTGAGGTCCCACCATACAACTGTCCTTTGCTAGGCACCTGGGGCTTTCCACCCTGGTGACCTTCTAAAACTAGCTCATCATCCTTGCTCTGCTCATGTTTGTCTAACTGTCTACCACATGCCTCACTCAAGGATCTTGGCTTTGAATTCTTTCAGAGAAAAAGAGCACAGGGTCTCTCCTGTAGCTGCTTCCTGCTGAAGATGGGCAAAGTTTTCCTTCAGAGCCAGATCCTTACTCTCTGTCAGAGAGATCATGAGGCCTTGGGCACAGAAGGAGGTGGCGTCTATAAGTGGTATTCCCTGAGTGTGAGTAGGGCTTGTG